GCTAACAGGCCAATCGTTAGCCGCCACGTGGGAATAATTTAGAACTAGCCAATAGCGGGACACAAATTTGCATGCGGGTGGCGGGAACTCTTTTGCACCGTGCATTTCTCTTGCAACTTGAGCAATGCACCCTGCAAAAGAAGCTGCAAATAGGCGGGAAACTCGTCCCTGCACCGGAGTTTTCCTCCGCAGCAGAAAACTCCACCGTGCAACGAAGTTGCAACCTGGCGGGGATAATTCTGGTGCCGAAGCACACACAAAATCATACCTTTGGGTTATGACAGATTACAGATGAAAGAAGAGAGAATCTAAACTCATCTCAGCTTTAAAGAGGAAATCTGGTTTCCAGGATTTGCTTCCCAGTAGATATTCTATAATACAGTATAATTGTATACTAAGATTTAGTGTCAGCTTCCTTCTTTCCATTGACCTCAGTTGGCTATTGAACCATGTGGAGGTTACTATATAACTGCATTGCTTATTATATTAGTTCTTTAGTTTCATAAATAATTAAGATGTTTTGATAGTTTTCTATCAAAGATCATTCATGTTTTTAATTGCATTGTAATTGTCCTTGCACTTGTCATTTTTATGACAGATGCCTATACCAGAAAATGGAGTTACAAACTATTAAACTTTAATTTATTCCAAAATTTGTGCATAAATTAGAAAACTTTGGGTGCATCCACACATGCAGACGCATGCACTTGCAGCAGCTCAAATAAGAGCAGCACAAATTTGAGCCGAGGATTTTTGCCTTAGTGCACATGCCCAGACATGCACTCTTGGTGTGGGGCAAGTTGTGCCACTTGAGGCAAAATAATGCTGCCTGGCTCCTCCTGCATCTGTAGCCAGCAGGAGCTAAGCCTGGGGCAGCACCTGTGCTGGCCCAAGCAGTATAAAAAGCTGCCTTGGTGAGCAACTCATGGCTCCTTGCTCTGAGGAGTTTCTGGGGCCCAGCCACTTAGTATCTGGGGCACTACCTCTTGTGCCAGCTGGACTGCTGAAGCAGCCCTAACCGAGAGCTCCCTGCACCATTTAGCCACTGCAGCAGTCTGGCAGTGGGGGCTGCTGCCTGGCTGTGACCTGCTGTGCACCTGTGACAGCATGTGGCCCCAAGGCTGCACACCTACCAGACCCGTATGGGGACTGCATAGCCACAGCAGAGACATCTGCACCCCTGGGCCAGCTGCCAGGGGGATGTGGCTATACAGTTGGCCTTTGCAGCGCTACTGCCATGTATTCTGCCGCCCTGCCATCTGGGCAGCTATTGACCGAAAGATGTTGTCAAGTGGTGGCCTGCTTTGAACTGTCAAAGCATGTCCTCCTGGCCACATACATACATACTAGTTGGGCAATGTTTTATTGATATATTTACAATTTTAAAGCAATTTGGAAGCCTACCAGTGTCTTTGTTTATCATAATAACATAAATTCTAAATAGTCATATGTTTTGATGTCTGATTTTGATTTTCTTATCATAGATTAGTTGGAACTTCCCCCAACCCCTTCACTAACTAGGAAGTGAGAACAGCTGCTCCTGCAGTGACAGCTTCTGCCAGCAGGTGTCTGGCAGCTGGGCATGTGATGGGGAGATGTGGGGTTTGCAGGTGGGGGGGTCAGAAGAAGTGTAGGGGGATTGTGAGGGGACTGTATGAGGGGGATGCTCAGGAGGGGTGGATCCCCTGCCCCCTTCCAGGGCACAGCCCCCCCCCAACACAGCACATGGGCTGCCCCCCCGCAC